GCCCCAGGGCAGCTGTGGCTACAACTGTAGCTTGCCTCCACCAGTGTGTGAATGTGAGAGTGAATGAATAGTAGAATTGTAAGCGCTCGGAGGCTCTAGAAAAGCGCTATATAAATGCAATCCATTATTAACAAACACTAGGCAGATAAATATGTGACTGTTTCCTCTTAAAAATAAAAATAAATCCTGTGTAGGCCTCACCTATGGGGTTGACATCAAAGAAGCTAACAGGAGTGTGGAGCACAGCACTAAACATGCTGTTGTGAAGAGTCTGAGCTGATCTCACCAGCCCATGAAATATCACCAAACTCCTGGCAAAACCAAAGACCACAGCTGCTGCTGTCAAACCTAAAAGTAAACACAGCAGGACTATATTAAAAAAATAGTTTGGTATTTGATATACAGCAGGATATTCTACCAAGTAATATAACATAATGGACACTAAACACATGGTAGTCAACAATAGTATGTGAAGATTTCAGTAAGAACTACAGGACTGAAAGGCTTACCTGAATAAATGCTGAGGTAAAAAGAGAGATTAAACTCTTGGTATGAACTAGTAACATTCATTCCACTTTTAAGGCTAACAGCAGTGACTCTGCTGTTTGTGCCGTTTGTAAAATCATCTCTTGCCCTGTCAGGTGAGAAGACAATTAAACAAAGTGTGAAACATAAGAACATCACTTAAACAGTCTAATAAAATGTTCTGTAATTAAATGAATAGAAAAGTAAGCTACTGGCTCTACAGAACTGGACTAAAGTCCTGATCTACTACTAATTTCTTTATACTTTGCTTGGAAAATGGGACACATGTGTAGTGAGTTATTGAAAACATACATAGAAATGCAGAACAGAAGGAAAAAATAGATTTATTATTTTTTTGCCTTCCCACTGTCCCCAAAGCGCTTGCTGTTTTATCAAATCTCTTTGTAGGGCCTTTACATTACAATATATCTAAAAACGTTTTAGCTCCTTGGAAGCAAATTATAAAGAAATGAGGTGTATCTCCAGACTTGCACAGTATAACACAGTACTAAAAGTGTGTTGAGTTCTCACCAGTATACCAACCACCAGTCCTGAAGGATATATGCCACCTATTGAAAAGAAACAAACAATAAAAAAAAAGTTCAACTTGGTTTTGTTTCTTATGTTCACAATGCATAAAAACATTGCATTAAAAATCTCCATTCACTTGCTAATGGTACCATAAGAGGTCTGTGACTTACCTCAGCTAGAATACTGAGAAATACTATAACCATTAAAACCAGAAGGCTACAGCCTGCCGTGAAGTATGTAAAATAAATGTGACTGCTGACATTTCCTTCAGCTCGTGTCTCCTCTGCAATAGTTTGAATAGCTTCAACCTGCAAAACAAGAAATGATCCAGGCACATCTTTATACTTGAACATAGTTTCACTGTTTGTAATCTCAGAACAAAGCTGACACTTCATGATAGTGCATCTAAAATAATATTAATGAGAAATATATATATCATGAAAACCTGACCTCAACTCAACAGAACACCTTTAGGATGGATTAGAGCAAGGACCGTGAGCTAGTCCTTCTTGTCTGACCTGATAAATGTGTTTCTGGATGAATGGTCAAATGAGCAAATACTTTTGACAGTATAGTTTTTTCTTATATATTTATTACATGTAACGTGAAATTTGACTGAAAGGAACTGTAGAGTAGGAAAAGGTGAGAATTCTTTCAAAGCTGTTGAAAGGATTGTCAAGAATAGCTGATTTAAGAAATTGGGAGACCTCACATGGAGCGGAAATGGACACATAAAGATGAGCTGAAAGCTGCCATCAAAGCAATCTTAGCTTCAGTAACAACTTTACAGTGCCTGCATGCTGATTACCTACACACCACATTACATGGATGCAGTAATTCAGTGTTAAGTGTATAAGTGCAGTGTATATGTACCATCCATTACCATATCATGTACCATGAATGAAGACCACACAGCACCATATCAGCTCAATAAAGCACTTCACTCTCAGACTGCAGGCTTACTTCTTGTTGCTACAATATTTGGAAGGCAGAGCCTTCAGCTTTCAGGCCGCTCTCTGTACAGCCAGCTTCTAGTATGGATTCAGGAGACAGACACCATCACTACTTTTAAGATTAGACTTTTTATAAAGCATTAGTAAGAGCTGGATCAGGTGACCCTCAAGCCTCTTTTAGTTACACTGCAATAGGTCTAGGGTGCCATGATGCGCTAAGTGTTTCTTCTTCACTCATCTTTTTTTACTTTTTAAGAGGTTGAGGATTTGAGATAGTTGATTTGGGGTTAAATTTTCTGTGTTGTTTTAATTTTCATACATTTTCATGATTTTATTACTTCACCCCTTCACTTCACCCGTTGCCTACTGGTGGTGGTCAGAGGGCCCGGTGGCGCCAGTGTCCGGCAGCCTCGCCTCTGTCAGTGCGCTCCATGGCAGCTGTGGCTACAATGTAGCTTGCCATCAGCAGTGTGTGAATCTGTGTATGAATGTGTGTGTGAATGGTGAATGACTGAATGTCGTGTAAAGCACTTTTTGGGTTCTTAGGGACTAAGTAAAGCACTATGCAAATACAGGCCATTTACCATTTATTAACTCATTAACTAATTACTTAGAGCAGGGGTGCCCAATCCCAGTCCTCGAGAGCTACCGTCCTGTAGCTTTTAGATGCATCCTTGTTCAAATCAAATGAATCAAATGAATGGCTTGTTATCAGGCCTTTGCCAAACTTGATGGCATGCTGAAGAGGTAATCAAACCGTTTGATTCAGCTGTATTGGAGTAGGGATGCATCTAAAAGCTGCAGGACAGTAACTCTCGAGGACTGGGATTTGGCACCCCTGACTTAGAGTAAGTGAACTTCTCCAATAGCTACCTGAAGTTAGCATATCTTTTCTAGCCAAATGGCTATCAGATAATATCTACAAATGTCACATATTAGAAGAAGTATTAAATGGACTTGTTTATATACCATGGTACCGTATAGAAACTTTAAAGAAAAAGAGAAAGGACAATGCATGGGGGTCTATGAAAATTAATTACATTTTTAAAAAACTGAAGGTAAAACAACACTATTTTGTAAAAATAGCAATGTTCAATCTCTTTAGTAAATATACATACAGGAAGATGCTCAGTGTAGGTGCTTTCTGGTGGAAGGGGGCAGTTGAGGAAACAGTGTGAACTGTGAGAATCATTTGTCCACCGACTTTGTAAAGACAGTTTTTCTGGGTCAGCAAATGGAGACAATTGCTTCTGCTCCTCATCACGTCTCAGCAGGGACACCATATCGAGGTCAGAGGACTGCAGCTCACTGTAGCTTCCCTGGACCATGATTTGACCCTAAAGATGCAACAAAGGAAATCAGTTACTGGACATCTAGGCTGCTGTTCTTTTGGTATATGGATAGTCCAATGGGGGGAAAGGGGGTTGTTCACTGTTTGTAACCCCTGTAGGCTCTACCCTACAGGGGTACCCCAAGACAAACCTTTGCACTTAACCAAGTGAATCTGGAATCTGGGACTCTATAACCCCCTAAAACCCAGTGCATACAATCCTCATCTCCCTTTGAAACACGGGAACAGGTAGAAGTCAAAGGCGTCAAAGGCTTCAATGTAGGAAAGTGTTTACTGAAACTTCTCCAAACAAAGAAATCAAACTCATAAAACCCGAGAAGAATGAGTACTGAGGTCAATCTTAAGGGTGGGTCTGTAACTTTGGAACTCCAAATGTGTGCTCCAAACACAAATACAAAACATCTTAACCACACGGAAAACCATTTTATAAATCTGTACATCCAAACCTAAATAAATGCTGCTTGTTTACGCACAACTTCAAGTTCAGAAATTTGATTATGTTCTTTCAAAAAATCTTCCTGTGCACACAAATATCTAAAAATACACATAACCCTTTGCCTCACTTACAAAACCTTAAGTGCACATGCACGAATCATTCATTACATACAGGTCACATCGCATGTCCACATAGGGTTTTGAGACCCAGGTAGTTTCACACAGATCCACAAATCTAAGCTGTGTTCAAGTCCCAGCAGAAAACTGGGACATCTGTGCTTCCACTGTCCACTGTTCCATTGCCAAGGTTTGTCTGACTTGATGTCAGCTGAGAGCAGAAATGTCCAGGATTAGCAATTAAGCTAACAATAATGTTGCTGTTTTCAGAGAATAGTAAGATTAACATCAAAGTTTTATTTCACATTAAATGGATTAGCATATACCCACTTCAGAGGATGGTCCACAGTCCTGTACAACCATGGTGTTGTGAGTGAAAATTAAAGTGATGTTATGTGTATGCACAGAAAGATTTTTGAAAGAGAAGATGATCAGATTTCTTAAATTGAACTTAAAAAGTTGTGCATAAGTGATCACAATGCATTTAGGTGTGGATGCACAGATTTGTAAAATACTTTTACCTGTGGTCAAAATGCTTCGTATTTGTTTCGATTTTAGAAATGGTTGAAATGTCACCATTTATACATATTGTTAAAGATATTCTATTATCAAGTACTCAGATGCAATGAAATATCACTCAGACACTTAGAGCAGTTTTAAACGCGCACGGGTGAGAGACTCAGGGAGAGACTCACACACCTCCTTGGTGCAGTCTGGCTTTATTTATACACATCATGAAGCATACAAAAAAGGAAATATCATCCTTATCTTGTCAAGAAAACAGGTGTGAAGAGAGAGATGAGTGATATCTCTCCAGTGTCTTGCAGGTTGCAACCAGGTGATTGGATCCTGATCAAAGTACTCCAGAGAAAGAATTGGAGTTCACCAAGGTGGGAGGGCCTATACCAAGTCCTACTTACCACACCCACCGCCTGCAAAATAGCAGAAAGACCATCTTGGATCCACCAAAGCCACTGTAAAAAAGTGAGTGACAATCCAGACGCTTAGACGCCGGCTCCCCTGGCTTCTAGGTGATCTATTGGTGGAGGGAAGGGCTGATTGGGTATATCCCGCCCTTTTTTTTACTTCTCGCCAATAGTCTACTCACCAGAGGTCTAGGTGTGCCTGGTCATCATGAAGACACTTGTCCTCCTAGTGGCCAGCATTGCGCTCCTAGTGAGCCTACTAACACTCACCCAGATGAGAGGAAATAAACAACACCACCTGCAAAAAGATGGACACATGACAACTCACACCTGCGCGACCTGAACCAAGACCATAACCACCCATGGATGAACAACGCGTGGTACAGATATGTGTATGATAGAACACGCACCGACAACAGCACGGAATGCTATGTGTGTTCACATATGCCAACAACAGCCGTACACGCAACAATATATGGAAAGGCACCTGAACTTAACGAAGCGATGTGTGTGTTCAACAAGGCAACAATTGGAAATTGCTCACGCAGAGCTTTGATGGCAACAGGACTGGCCCTGAAGGGTCAAAGCACAAAGAAAGAAGACTTAATTCCATGGTGTAGTGACACAGACGTCAAACGTGTCATGAAACCACTTTCACAACGACGGATCCTAATTGAACAGACAACCCCTTGTGCCTACAATCTGACGAACTGGAACTACACCTGCAACGAAAAACATTGGGTAAACGTCAAAGCCAACAACACAAAAAACAAATCATTCGCCATAGTTTTGCCGCCGGACATACAGCACCCAATGTGTTTCAACTTCTCCGATGGAAACAGGAAACTTGGACGAAACCGCAACTGCACACAGACACTTGACCTGACCCAATCCAAAGGAATACACAACTTCAAAAATGGAACTTTCTGGGTCCAGGGAGCCGCTTGGGCCTGCGGGCCTAAAACCTACTTCATGCTCCCACCAAACTCCACCGGTCTGTGTGCACCAGTACTAATTTCAGACCACACCTTCAAGATCACAGCAGAGACACACACGTCAAGAGCAAAACGTGAAGTTGCTGAAGTCACTGAAGTAATGCCACATGACTCAATCTATGGATCAGATGTGCCCAAGAACTTCAAACTATGGACTGATGGTCAGAAAGTCCTCCACTCCTTGTTCCCTTGGGTGGGAGTTGGGAAAAACATGCTGAGGATCGAGACACTTGACTATCGATTTGGACTGTTCCTAAACGCTTCAATGAAAATCAACAAAGCGCAAAATGAAGAAATCGACGCAATACGCATTGTAGTGATGCAACACAGAGTCGCACTAGACATGATTCTAGCTGAAAAAGGAGGTTTGTGTGTATTGTTTGACACTACATGTTGTACATACATCCCAGACAACATACACTCACAAAACATGACCGACGCTTTGAACACCTTGAGAAAGATTAAAGATGCTGAACAACAAGACTATGTCACAAGCACTGATGATTGGTTGACATGGTTACTAGGTGGTTCATGGAAGTCCCTACTGATTAAAGGACTTGTTGGAATTGCATTTTTGCTTCTACTGTTATGTGTTTTCACAACATGTGTAGTACCCTGTCTGAAGAAAATGGTATCGAACATGGTGACAACTTCTATCAACGCTTATGTGATGATGTCTCAAATGGAAGAAATTTTAAAAAATGATCCAAACAGTAATGTTTAGCTTAATTGAACACAGGACTGTTTTATGACGTTCAAACCGAAAATGTTTAGACAAGAGGTTATGAACTGATATAACTAACAGTACTGTCATAAGAGAAATCTAAACAACAGGAGGGAATGTCAGAGTATTTTTGCTTTTAAAGGTTTTATTATTCATATAATAATCAGCTAAGAGTGTTTATATTTCTCTTCTGTACTCAACCAGCTGTGTATTTTAATTGCTGGCTCCCTATCTTTATAACGGAAACTGTTTGCCTTCACATTATGTCTCCTCACATTGTTGTTGCCTTCACACTAGCAGGAAACCGCCACCCACGAGTAAGAAACAACCTTGTAGAGAACACGAAGTTTTTTGATAAAC